TCAGGCCTCCCTATACAGTATGAAAAAGAAAAAGCGGGGGGGGGGAAAGGGGGACAATTTTTTTCCCTGTGCAGATCACCTTTAACTCACTGCTAGAGCTCTACTGCTGAGGCTCGTCTAGCTGAAGGTACAAAATGTTTAGAGAATGCCCTTGAGCCCGGCCAATTTACATTTTTATTTTGGTTCGTGTTTTAAAGAGAAAGTATAACTTACAACGTAAGGGATCCCAAACTCCTCCAACATTTCTATGGCAATGTGGTCTGCTTTCTGAAATCCTACCAAGCTGTCCACTAATAAGAAGGTCCTCTTCAAGCTAACAAAGATACAGATAGTAACACAAGTGAGGGGCAATGCAACAATGGTTGTTTCTACATTAACTAGCATGAGAACTGAGACGCTACCTCATAGGATTTGGAGATGGGAAAAGAGAATTAGTCTTATCTAGTTCATCCTGAGAGGAGTCAATACAGGATAGCACCTAAGGGGAATATTTTCCAGTGCTTTGATCCATCCAAGCTTCAAAACAGAACTCAAACAATGGTAATGCCACCACTTCACTCTGGAAGCTATACCGTGGTCTAATACATTCCACCCCATTGTTGGTAATGCCTTCTTGATATCTACACTTAACTCTTCCACCTTTTTATAATCTCCGCAAACATCCCACTGTTCTGATGCACTGTGAGATTGCAGGTAAAACACGACAGCATGCAATGGCTCTCTTACTTCTGACGCTCTTGTAAATAGGCCTCCACCATGTCAGCAAAGTCTTGCGGGGCTCGGTAGCCATAGCCTGGCATGTCCACCAACGTAAAGTATTTCCCCACTTTGAAGAAATTCATTTTCTTTGTGTGGCCCTGGAGAGAGAAAGGTTGGGCTTTATTAAATATTACTAAATGGCCATGGGATTATTTAAAAGGTACTTTATGCCCAACATTAGAAATCTGAGCTGAATATGGACAAGAACCAAGAAACCGATGGGCCTAGAAGACTGGAAAGTGTTTTAGATTCATTAGAAACGCTGAATAGACTTTGTAATGTATCCTGGGTAACTGACAAGCTGACTGAATGAGGGAACCACTTCATGGTTTAGTAGAAACAGGATACCATCCCAACGACTGATACACAAGCTTAAGTTTCTCTAAATGTGACTACACAAATCTAGGTAGTTGAGAGGAGGGAGATGCTGTATGAGCCCACGTAGGAGAGTCCATTAGGCACATGATGTACTGGACTTACATTTTTTGAAATTACAACCCTAGAGCAGTATCAGGGGGTAGCTGCGTTAAGTCTGTATCCACAAAAACAACAAGGAGTCTGGTGGCACCTTAAAGACTAACAGATTTATTTGGGCATAAGCTTTCGTGAAGAGGTGTTTTATCCACGAATGCTTATGCCCAAATAAATCTGTTAGCCTTTAAGGTGCCACCAGAACACTAGTACTTACCATACTATTTAGCCATGGTATCAGAAAGGATTTTAGAAAACACTCTACAGCAGTGTTTCTCAGCCAGGGATATGCATACCCCTGGGGGTACGTAGAGGTCTTCCAGAGGTACATCAACTCATCTACATGTTTGCCTAGTTTTACAACTGGCTACATAAAAAGCACTAGCAAAGTCAGTACGAACTCAAATTTCATACAGACAATGACTTGTTTATCATAGAATATCAGGGTTGGAAGGGACCTCAGGAGGTCATCTAGTCCAACCCCCTGCTCAAAGCAGGACCAATACTGCTCTCTATAGTATACACTGAAATGTAAGTACAATATTTACATTCCAGTTGATGTCTTTTATAACTACACGGTAAAAATGAGAAAGAAAGCCATTTTTCAGTAATAAAAATACAAAAGTGTCACAGCACATTGTGTCTGATTTTGTAAGGAAATAGTTTAAGTGAGGTGAAACTTGCAGGTACGCAAGACAAATCAGACTCCTGAAAGGGGTACAGTAGTCTGGAAAGGTGAAGAACCACTGCTTTACGGATCCTGGTCTTCACACATAGCCAGAGAACCTAGTCTCTGCCTACGGGAGGTTCTCAGTTTGGGCACCGTGGATGGGAATGGGGGGGGGTTGGAATCCTCTCCCCACCTCACATGCTGAAAGCAGGACACAGGATACCTGGGGAGCTGCTCCAGAGCCACCACTGAAGCCTCTGTGCTGAAGTAGCATCAGTAACACACTCAAAAAGCCTGTGTTGTGAGTGTTTAAGTCAATAGATCTACAGTCATGGCATCACTGGCCATGCCCTCAAGTCTCCCTCTGTGGGTCCATAGGGTGTGGCGACCCCTTGCACAGCCTCCCTGTTGTCTGCTCCTCTCTGTGTGGAGCAGACTGCGACAGTTCCACTGCTTCAAAGACCTTCCACAGTCATTACTTGAACAGGAGGATTTAGCTCCGAGTGCCAAACTACTCTCAAAAAGCGACTACAAATTAGCTTGGTAGGGCTGTGTGTTTGTTTTGTCTCAGTGGCTGCACATCAAGTGTGCTCCAACTTATGAGTAATAAGATTCTTTTTTTCCTCCCAACTGTCAGCCCTGCAAACTTACCCTGGGCTCTGAGAGTCAAGCTAGGTTCTTTTCACCTCATATTTCCAGTAATAGGACTTTTGCAAATGAACCTTAAAATTTCTGTTGAAGATGCACAAGCCAGAACAGAATCCAGCTTACGCTCCCAGAGCTTTGTGTTACTCCAGCGCTAAGGTTAGCCCTCTTTCTCTCATCTCCCCTGACTGGCAGGAGCTTCCAGTTGAGATGGAGGGAATCCCATAACAACACTTACTGGAGTTTTTGACACTCGGACATCAACATTGGGAGCCAATGAAAACAAGGCCTTTATTAAGGAGGATTTCCCAACATTGCTTCTGCCCACAAAGCACACCTGGAGAGAGACAGGAGAAAGGAGATACTATTGTTAGTTTTCTCTCCTTCATCCAACCCCACCTGTGCAACAGGAGTGGGTCACTCCTGCAAATCCTCAATTAGTTCTCGTGGCCTTACCACCTTAGACGAGGAAGGACGGTCCAGCGACTACGACACTCACGTAAGTCTTGGGAGCCGAGTTCTAGACCATACCATAGACTTCCTGTGTAAAGCTGAGCAAGTCATGTAGCCTCTCAGTTCCCCATCTGTAAAATGGGGATAATAGCACTTCCCTATCTCACAGAGGTGTCATCATAGAGTGTGAGGTGCTCAGATACCATGGTGCTGGGGGCCATATATGTAACTAAGACAGACTCGCTTTTAGGGAATGTCTTTGTGCTAGTTGATACCCTCCTATATGAAAAGTCGCCGGAAGGGCCAAGTTAGGTTGAAAACTTAGCCCTGACAACATGAAATTTCCATGTAATTGTCCTATCTGTAGGGATAAATATTTTGTTCCCTTGATAAGGGACTTAGTCCTTCTACTCTGTAGAAGTCCCAGGATCTGTAAAATCTTGGGACATCTGCAAAAAGCCCAGGCATTAGTCTATTCCTTGGACCCCAGGCCCTTCAAAAGCTGCACTTCCATCAGTTCGCCTGCCCAGTGTGGACAAAAATGCACCACTTGCTCCTAGGGAATTGACAGTGCAGAGCAGGTTTCCCTACATAAGATCATGCTGACGCAGCCCCCATGATTCACAGAGGGCTGAGGCTGCACAGAGACGCTCTCTTTTGGCTCCATGTGGTCAAACCAACTGCCAAAACTACAGCACCCAAATGCATGAATTCAGGGGAGGGGAGATAGGGACGATGCTGTATAGGATGGACTCCCTGCTCCCCCCACTCAGCATGTGTTCTGACCACAGGAGCAAGGATACCACCTCCCTCTCCATCCCTGGAAATGGCTTCACCTCAGGCTGTGACAGCTGTGGTGCATGGTCCATGCGGACGGCAGAACTGAAATAATCAATCACGTGTTTGCCCGAGGGTTTGAAAAGCGCCTCTGCCCTGTGGATGTCATCCAGGCCGGGGTTGAAAGTCCGGAAGCTTGTAGTGTTCACGTTCGGGGCTAGATACTTCTCTAGACCCTGGAGAGGGAAAACTACACCAGTGAGCTTTTTATCCTCCAGCTGCAGCACTTCCGAAAACGATGCATTTTTTGTAGAGCTCCTCCACGTAGCGCTGTGTCTCTGGAGCAGGCAGTTTGCCCCCGCAAGCCTCCTCATCCTCTGTAGCTGGAGCATCTCTGGCTGCTCTGCCCAGTCTCCCAAAAGCTCATCAGCCTGCAATGGTTTAAAGAGTCCTTAAAGAGCTAGTCCAACAGCTGAACCAAAGGTAGCTTCACACTGGAGATCCGAGTGTCTCATGCTCAAAGCCCTGAGTGGAGGGAACTTTAAGAGGGTTATTATATTTGTACCGCAGTAACACCCGCCTCACACCCCAAGAGAAGATGGTGTCCCTGACGCGTTCACAACCCGGGTGTCAGGCAGGGCACCCCAGGGGGGAGGATGGAGGCACCCAGTGGAGTTAAGCCGGGAAGATGGACGCACTGGAAATGCAGGAGGTCTGTGGAGGATGGTTGGGTCCTGCGCGGAGACAGGCCCTGCAGCCGGGCCCGGGGAGGAGGAGCGCGGGCTGCGGGCGGGGGGCGCTTTGCAGTGGGGCCAGGCGCAGCAAGGCTGGAAGGATGCCAGAGCACCGGGGCAGAGGGGGGCGGCAGTGGGTGCTCAGGCGGGTTGCGATGGCAGCGGGGAGGGACACGCAGGGGAAGGGGCTGCCCGGGACTCACCCTCTCCCTGGCGGCCGCGGCCCGACCTCTCCGCGGCCCTTAACCCCGGCCGGGGCGATCACTTCCGGGCAGGGAGGTGGGGCTGGGCCGGCGCTGCGGGGTGATGGGGAGGAGGCGCCGCATGGAGGGGCGGGGAGAGGCGCCGTGCAGCGGGCCTGGCCCCGGCCTCTCCGGAGCTGAGATCCTCCCCCCCCGCGGGCTGCCGTGTGTGCCGTGGGGTGGGGGCTCCCCTCGGGCCCAGCGCCCCCATGGGGCCGGCTTTGCACCTGCCCCCCACCTCCACACCCTGCATCCCATCCACACCGCACGGCCTGGGCGCTCGCTGCTCCCTCCCTGGCCGGCCAACTGGAGAAGCCCCGTCCCGGGCTGATGAGCTCACGGGTGATGAAGCAGATTAATGGAGAGGTGCAGGGAGTTTATTCATTGTTTGAAACTTTGTTCCCTATTTAACTCAAACGCCTGATAAACGCAGGAGAAAAGGTGTCACCCAGCCTCCCTTTCCCACTTGAGAGCAGAGAAGGCTCCCCCTGCACATGTAAGCCCAGACTGGACAGCCCTGCTCATTTCTAAGATTAAATCATAATAATGGAGAGGGAAGAAATCCACCTTTCAGGCCTTCTTCCCCCCCTTGTAAAAAGGAAGAAGAAAAGCACAGACCCATTTTTTCCCTTTGCAGTTCATCTTTAAGCTACCTCGCCTCAGCATTGTACAGCCCAAGTCGATTTCAGAGCAGCCCAGCACTGCACTGCTCTGCTCCAAGGCTGGGCAGGGGCTCGTGAAAGAGAATCTGTTTCCTCTTCCATCACAGCCAGGGAGCTGAGCAGCTCTGGAGAGCGGTGGGCTGGCTCTAAACTTTGGGACCTTCAACTGTATAGTGCCAAGTTAGGAGCTACTTCAATACTGAAACAGACAACGCAAGTTTATATGCACCCCAGAAGGGGGTTAGTAGGGATGGAAAGTAAGGGGGGCCTGGAAGAGGAAGAAGGTAGCAAGGAGGCATAAAAATGGGGTTTGGCTGCCTTTGCACTTAATGTTTGTAATACTCAATTTAAAAATAGGAGGCAAGATAATTATTATAGAACCCCTGTCCCCTTGTTAATTTCCTGGCTGTCAACCCCATTCTGTTTCTTTTATTCAGGAGGTTTTATTAGGCACTATTGTGGGTTAGTGCACAGCCATGTAATCACTATAAAAGGTTCAACTAGCCAATCAGAACATGGTTTTGGACCATCAGTGTTCCCAGCCAGACTCCCAGTAAGAAGAATAAGGCTGATCCTACAGTTTATCCATTTCAAATCCGTGAAGGAGAAACAAGCTAGAGGTTGGCCTGTACTGGGTTTTTGGTAGCTACACAGATGTACCTGCACCAGTGCAAGCCCCTAGTGCAAATGCACTGCCCCAGCGCAAAATGTGATTTGCACCAGCAGGCTTTCTCTGGTTTCAAATTAAAAACTCCAGTGCAAATAAAGGCCATAGTTAACAACCCAGTAATAAAGGAAACTGGAATTATGTGCTCTGATCACCAGGTGGCAATAAAGGGGCAGTCAGTTAAAGAGCGTTTTTTAGAAACACTCACTATAAATTACAGACAAAAACTATGTTAAAAGAACATTACGTTTGCAAAGTTAACCACTCAAACGTAAAGAAATACCAGATGTACATTGCTTGTGCAACCTTACTTTGTATATGTGCTTACCTTGTGCATATGATACAGTCTTTATTTTGTCTATCGGAGTTTTATACTGACCCCATCACTGCAGTGGCTGAGCACCTTCCATGTCAAATCAATAGGAGTAGCAAAGCCCCTCAGTGACTTCATACATCCTCTGGTGCTTCTGGGATCAAAACCCCACTCTCCCCACAGCTGCCAGTCCCAGTCTCCTTGCACAACAAGTCCTAGTCTCGCCCCCACCCCCAAATTCCCAGTTTCTCTCTCCCCCTTCCAGTCTCACTCTCACCAGCCTCCTTGCCCCAATCTCCTTCTTTCCCCAGTCTGGCTCTTGTCCTCTCTGCAGTCGAGTCAGACAGCTTCCTCCTCACTGCCTGGGTGCCAGCAGGGATCAGCCACACCCAGGCCTGGAGCTGCCATCACAGGGAAAGTACAGCTTTACCCCATAGCCCTGGGCTGGGGCATGCTCATCACTCTGTGGGGATGGCACATGCACAATTTGATCAGCACTAAGATCTATGAGAGGCTTGAGCATCCTCACTGAGAACAGAACCTTTGGAAATTTTAGCTGTTAAACTCTAGGATGTCTCTACTGAGCCTGTGCAAAATAGATTTTTTTCCCAAGATTGATGCAAAGGCCAGCCCCTACCAAATTTCAAGTCCCTGCTTCAGAGCACAGGCACACTAGTGTTTCTCAAAGAAAAGGTCATTTGCAGAAATGGCTGTAGCATTTAGGGTGAAACTTTCCCAAATTATTCAGCCCGAGGCAGCTTGAGAAATTTCAGCCCAAGTGGTTATAGTTTGGCAATTGATAAGCAACTGAAAACAGGGTCTTGTAATGGGAAGCGTTGGGCAACCTTAAAATAGGTACAGCTATGAGCCCCTACAATAGAAGAAAATGGGGGTATATATTATACTGAGCATACATTTGCATGTGCCAAAGATCACTGAAGATACAGACAGCTGGGTTGTTGAACTGTGCCAAAGCTGTTGATAGAACCTATTCTGTGTTCTTCCCAACAAGCCCACGTGTACATTAACAGAAAAGTGTTCTCTGTGGTAATGTAGGCCTTAGTGGATCAATGCAGGAGATCCATGAAAAGGTCCATAGGGTGGCCAGATCAAGTGCACAATGCCAGTATTCGAAAATAAAAAATAAAAGGCCGCACTTTCAAGAGTGAGCAAAATGGGAACTGCATTATCAGTATCCCCTACCAATACCAATATTGATGGTGTTTCTGTCCACACTGTGCCCCTGGGTGACCCTACATGCCCAATATTTCCATGGCTCAAGGAATCTTTCTCTGACTTTACAAACCCACAGAGAACAAAACCCTACTGAGCAAGTGCAGGCCGAGGGTGGAGTGTGCTTTTGGGAGACGGAAATTAAGGTGGAGATATCCACTGGCTGCACGTCTGCTGCATTTTGCATCGGGATCTGAAAACATTTTGCGTGGGGATCTGTCAGTCAAGGCTACACTGACCAGGCAGTCACGCTGGCTCTGACCTATGTACTACTAAACAGAGAAGTGACTGTTAACCCTGCTTGCAGTCTGTGGTTGCATGTAGTTTGAAACCGAGTGGGGGAAGTGGATGTAGGGCAACAGCTAGATAATGTACTGTAATGCTGGTCTGTTTCGGTTATTTGCATTAAAACCACCCTTATAAAATTCTCTGTAATTGTGCTGAGCGTAGTTGATAGATTATTTGTTTTTATGGTAGTGAGGTTATTTTCTGGCTGTTTTCCAAATGACTTAGGATGCAACAGGGAAGGCATTGTTTGATTTGCATTTAAGACCAGTGTAACTGATGTGCAAAGTACACGTGACCTTTTGTTTCCAGCCCGCACTTTTTAAATACTTAAATATATGCAAAAGCCATACAAACCCGAACGTGTACAGGGGCAATGTTTGCCTTATGCGTGCCTGAAATTGAGATACATAGTCTCCTTCCATTTATCTGGCACAGTAATTGAATGACTGGAGAAAGGCTGAGAAGGGCAGGAGAAGCTGGTGTAGGTGCCCATTGTGATAAAGCTGCAGGCAATGGGTGTGATTTTGAGCCCAATAACAACACCGCCACATCAGCCTCTGTATGCTGCTATGGGACCAGTCCTGGGAGAATTCCACCAGTGCAGGCACTGCATCAGACAGCTGCAGGTTGTCCTATGAGGCTTCTGCCAGGAATAGATGGGATATGCAAATAGCAGGGGTTACAGGAGCAGGGCCAGAGCACTACAGCAATACTGGGTTAGGCTGCCGCCCACAGGCAGTTCGGATTGGGCTGCTAACTTTAGGTAGCTCCCTGGAACAGTCCAGAAACAAAAGGGCACTAGGTGACTTTTAACCACCTTTTCCTTGCTTCTTCCCCTTCACATTTCCCCTGGGCTGTGAGGTTTGTGTTGTGCCTCTAAGAGTACATCTGCACTGCAGCTGGAAGGTGTAAATTCCAGCTCAAGGAGACTTACCTGCGCTAGCTCTGAGCAAGCTAGTGCACTAAAAATAGCAGTGTAGCCCCAATGGTGTCAGTGGCTAGCCGCCTAGTGACTCAGATGGGATCATACTCAGGGCGTCTAGCCCGTTCCACTGCTTGCACTGCTGTGGCCACACTTCTGTTTTCAGCACGCTTGCTCTAGTGCAGGTCTGGCTCCTAGAGCTGGAATTTACATCTTCTAGCTTCAGTGCAGACATATCTAAGGCACAGCACAGAATCTTCCCCATCTCTCTGTTGCTTCCAAATAGCTGTTAAACAACTGGGGATGAAATTCTGTCTTCCCTGTGCATTGCTGTCTCCCTTCTTATGTATTCCAGCATCAGTTCCTTGTCTTCCCACTGGTACCACTCCCTGCTTTCGCAGAGTGCTCCTGCCTTTTCCAAAGTGACTGGCACATGAGATCGCCAGTCTGGGGGCATGGATTTTTAATAAATCTATCTATTCAGGGGTGCTACCATGTGACTAGAGAACAGCTAACATCAGACCTATATTTAAGAAAGGGAAAAAAGTCACCTTTGTCCGGCTTGTCCTTGTCTGTCTCTCCACAAATGCAAGTCAACACCATACCATTCTATTTTGTTACGAGCACGTTCTTTCCATTTCTGGCCAAAGAGTTTTGTCATGGGATCAGCCCAGCACGTTTTCAGTCTGCCTAGCGATCGCTTGTGGTCTCTGGGGATCCAGTCACTGATGTGGGTTGTTCACCTATTGTCTTGCCTGCGGTCTACATGACCCGCCCATCTTTGCTTTGCATCGTACATTGCCTGCACTACACCTGTAATTGCACAGATCTATTAAATTATGAATAAAAGAATAATTAAATTCATGGAGATAAATGGAAAAAGGGAAATAATGCCACATGGACTATGCCAGACTTACCTGATATCCTCCTTCAAGAAGATAACTGATTTT